CTGTTGATTTTTGTAAAAAGTGGGTAGTGGGAGTCGATTAAACTGTTGAATGATGAAGGTCATGGCATTTCGAAACTATTCCTCCTCATCTAGTTCTACATCTAATTCATATGACAGCAGTGAGTTATCATATGGATGTTGATATGATGAATTTCTAGTATAGAGATACTACGGTGCTTTGATGGCATATTGAGGATCTTGAGCCATTAAAGCAAGTGATCCACTCATATATGCACATTCTTTTAACACTGTAGATTCTTGAGCCTAAAGTTCACCATAGAGTTTGAACAGTGAAAGAGTCTGAATCTCCCTGTCTCCTTGAACTATCATTTTTGCAATCATCCAATGTCTTCCTAACCCATTTAGAAACTGCAGATTAATTTCATGGCTGCCTATGATGGTACCAACATTTGAGAGTTTAGTGAATATGAGGTTGAATCTCTTAAACGAGTCATCAAGACTTTCATTGGGTATAGCTTTGAAGTTGGTGAACTCGTTGAGAGTAGTGGTGAACTTTTTGTCTTGTGCTTGTTCAGAACCTTGGTAGAGATTTTTTAGTACATCCCATATCTCGTTTGTAGATTTATAGTTGATGATGATGTCAAAGTGGTATGGAGCAATGCCACATGAAATTTCATAGAAGGTAATTGCATCTTTCTCCATATTTTTGAGATTATCGTTGGTAGGTCTGTTCATGGCCGCCAGACCGCCTACAAGTCTTGCTTGAGCACCATCAACTGCAATGGAAGTGAGAATAGGGACATGATGTCCTTCTTCTACAGATCTAAACATCTCTTCCGAGTCTCTTTAAATATATTTCCATTCTTTAGGACTAATGATGATAGTCACTTGCAATAAGTATTGAACCTCCAACACCATTTGAATTGTTTAAAGAATAAGCTTGTGCCATTTTTCCTTGTTTTAATGAGCTTTTAGTGGTATAGAAAGACTTTTAAATAAGATTTTTGTTGAGAAAAAAGCTTCGATTTTCTAATAGGATTTAAAAAGCAACAACTATAGCTCTGATACCAATTATTGAGAGAAAAACTTAATAAAAGTTAATAACGAGATAATATATTGTAGAATAGTAATTTAATCTTAATGGATATTTGTTAGATCAATAATAAAAGTTAGATTGCGCAAAAGTAAGGAATGTAAATAGCATTAAGTTATATCAATAAGCATACACAAGTAGACACTTAATTGAATCGTAACATGGTTTGCACTCAAACCAGGTTAGTAAATGATTAACAACATAAGTGAAGAGAGGCTCAGATAAAGTATCAATCAGATGACTTTAGATAGTATACAGATGAAGAAATCTTATATTGATAAGATCATAATTGGTACTTCAACATGAAGTGGAATCCTTTATTTATGGAGGTCCAAAAGTTACAGGGAAATGATAAACAATTACAAAGCGAATGACTGCGGTGACTCTGAAAGGTACATCATATAATACTAAGTTTACATGTATAGTCAGTAAAGATAACTTGTCACAGTCTTCATGTTCAAAGATGTCTTCGAGTATTCTTCTCGTCTTCGGGTTCCAAACAGTTTTTAACAATCTCCTCTTCAATTCATAAAAACATTGGGTCTTCGGGTCCTTCTTAGTTGTCGAGGGGCACTTTATGGTATCAACACTTCCAAACTTCACCACCACCTTCTACTTCCTTTGAGATACACAAAAACACATTCACAAGCTTCAAAATGCAACAATAGGGATAAGGTTTCCAAGGGACAACGTTTCAAGTGATGGAGGATGGAAATGGGATGAGGAAATAGGACTTAAGGTTCAATATATATGGTCTAAACCGTAAAGATTAGGGTTTATGTCCAGGCAGAGTACACCCTGTGTATTCAGACTACGCCCTGCATATTCAAAGTACATCCAACGTACTCCCTAAAACGATGTTGTTTCGCTAAAACCCCTTTATGCCCATCATACCATCCAAGTACACCCCACGTAAGGGAAAAAGTTGCCAAAATCACCAATTAAAGGATTAGAAGGAAACTTACCAGGATTTGAGTGTAACAACTTGGAGCACTTGGAGCATCATGGAGTAACTTGGGGAACTTGGATCACATAGAGCAACATGGAACATTATGTTGCACCATGTAGAAAGAAGTTGCACCATCATTGGGGATGTTGTGCCAAATGATAGCATGATGCCCCATCATGTCTGAAGTTGCGGCAAGGTGATTTTGAGCCATGGAGATGATGTTGCTCTGTCAAGAAGGGAAGTTGCGCCACGGAGGAGATGTTACGCCATCATTGACCATCTTGGTACATGTTGTGCCATCTCGATTCCTTTATTATTCCATGTTGATCCACGTATGCCTAGAGTATGATCATGATCAAGAAATACACCATGTTGTGCCACCATGATGGATATTGGGCTAATAGTGATCATGATGCTCTACCTATGCATCATGATGCTCTACTACGATCAATATGGTCCATCATGTGTGCTATTGATGCTCATGGGTTGTTTGACATGTAAGAATGTTCTAGAAAATGTTGCATGGTGGAATATGATTGGTTGTTACCTTTCATAAGCCTATAGGTCAATGGGTTTTTCCCATTAAAGTTTTTGGTATCATCCCTCAACTATAAATATGGATGTCTAGTTAGTCATTTGATGTGTCTTGTATCTCGATCGTATCCTTAGTGAGTAGGACGAATCTTTGGTGAATTATACTTGTAACCTCTTTTTGAAAACTTTAAAATAAAGAATAGTCCCCTCCTTCCCATGGACGTAGGTCACCTTGACCGAACCACATAAATATTGTGTCTTTATGTACTTTTAGTTTTGCTTCCCTTACTTTCTAACAAGGGTCATCAAAACTCGGCAAGTAGCATCGGATTTGTTCAGAGTCTTGATAAGTAACGTCTGATCTCCTAACAAGTGGTACTAGAGATGTGATTGGTGTTCTATTGATTGAAGATGGCATCTTACAAGTTCTATTTGTAGAAGTTTAATTGTTCGAATGATTTCACTTTGTGGAAGGTGAAGATGAAGGCTCCTCTAGTTTAATAAGGATGTGCAGTGACATTAGAATGAGAAGAAAAAGTGCCAAAAGACATGGTGGATGAAAATAAGGTGTATATTCTAGAAAGAGCGCATAGCGCTATATTGTTGAGTTTGACATACGAAGTACTGAGAGAGGTCATGGATCAAATGAGGGCATTTGGGCTTTGGGAGAAATTGTGTGACAAGTACTCGAATAATTTATTGATGAATAGGTTGTATCAGAAGAAACATTTGTATACTATTAGGATGTCGTAAAACATCAAAGTGAAGGATCATCTGGATAACTTTAATATGATCATCTTGGACTTACAAGGTGTAAATGTAATGATTGAAGATAAAGATCAAACATTTATTCTCTTATGTTCTCTGTCAAATTCTTATGAGAATTTTGTTGATATCATGTTGTATGGTAGGACAACGATCATTATGAATGATATCAATGATTCTTTGATGTCAAATGAACTAAAAATAACAATTTCAACTAGAGAAGAAGTTTCTAGTTCCGGTTTGTTCGCAGGCAGAAGAAGAACATCAGATAGAGGTGGGGGTAACAAAGGGAAATCAAGTTCTGAATCTAAAGCCAACATTAAATGTTATAACTACAATGAAAAGGGGTAATTCAAAAGAGATTACCCATTACTAAAGAAAGGGAATAATGGTGTTGAACCAAGCAACAATGGTGTTGTTGTGGTTCAAGGAAATTCTGATGAAGGGGATGATGGTGAACTTTTGACAGTATGTACATTTAATTCTATTGATGCTTGGAACCCGAAATCTAGAGCATCTTATCATATGTTATACAATGATGACTAGTTCGACTCCTTCAAAGAATGAAATGACGCAGTTAAGATGGGCGATGATTAGGTGAGCAGTATCAAGGGTAATGACACAATATAGATCAATATGCACAATGATACGATCAAGAAACTAAATTATTGGTTTTTCCCTGAGATTTGAAAGAATTTGATTTCTTTTGGCACTTTGGCGAAAGATGGATTGAAGTATTCCAGAGAGGGTGACTAGTTAAGAGTGTCCAAGGGTGCTATTGTGGATATAAAGGGAAGAATGAATCCTCATGGGATTTGTATTCTAGATGGTTGTACGGTTAGGGGAACGGTAATTGTATCCCAATCCTTGGATCAATATGATGATGAAAGGAGGTTTTGGCATCATAAGTTGGGGCATGTGAAGGAGAAGGGGTTGTTTGGTGGAGATAAAACTGGAAATGCTAAACCTAATGAAGCTTGTGTTCATGAGATACAAAGCATGGTGAAGTTTAGTTTGGTTTAACACTCAAGCAAGGAGATTCTCGAGTGCGTTCACTCAAATCTATGGGGTCCCTCTCATGTGAAGTCTCATAGTGGATGTCAATACTTTGTGACTTTTATTGATGATTACTCAAGGAAGACCTGGGTGTACTTTCTGAAGACAAATGAAAAATATGAAGTGTTTGCGCAGTTAAAAGAGTGGAAGATGGCGGTTGAGAAATAAAGTGAGATCTATGTAAATTCACTTAGAAACGGAAAATGGGTTGGAGTTCTACAAGGCTTCGTTTGACAACTTCTGCAAAACAGAAGGTACAGTGAGGCATCATATTATACAGCGAACACCACAACAAAGCGGAGTGGTGGAACAGATGAACCAAGCACTAGTGGAGCATGCTCAGTGCATGTGATTATATGTTGATTTATAAAAGCAATTATGGGCACAAGCAGTCAATACCACTTGTTATCTAGCGAATAGATCTCTATCAACTTCAATTGATTGTAAGACTCCTCAAGAGGTGTGGTCTAGAAAACTCTCTGAGAATTCTAGTTTATGAATGTTTTGATGCCCTGCTTATGCTCATGAGAATGATGGTAAAATGGAGCTAAGGTGGAGGTGGTACAAGTGTTGTGGGGGATGATTATGGTACTATCCAGAAGGTGGGGCTTGAATCAGGAATACCACATAGTTTTGTGATAAATGTGGAACAACAGGGTAACATGGATCAATATAGGCATGAGGCATCCCTTGATCAACCCAAGGAATAAGTTTCTGGTGATGTTGATGCCAGGAATGACAACTTGAAGAAGCTTCTAGAGAATGAGCTTGTGATTAACAATTTAGGAGCTAAAAAGAAGATAACAGCGATGGAGATTTGGAGTTATAGAAGAGCAGGATGGTGTTATATATTTCTCACTACATTGAGAAAGTCTTGTTGTCATTTTATCATGATTATTCCAAATGTGTTGGCAATTCTTTGGCGGTCCGAGGCAATCGGGGGAAAGTTCATTGGGAAGAAGTCAACTAGATTTTGCGACACTGGAAGGGAACGCTTGATTTTTGTCTGGTGTATGGTGCAAATGCACGACATATGGAGTTGGTTGGATTGATAGACTTGGACCATGGAAGTGATCTAGAGATAAGAAGATCATTCGTGGTTAGTCTTGTTCAAAGTCTTCTTTTAAAGGTGGAGAAACCTATCATGTTCTATATCAGGTTATGTATTTAAAAGTCTGATGACAAGGAGAATCCAAAAGACATGGTGACAAGGATGTTCCTATAGAGAAGTTCAAGATTTTCTTGGAGTTTGTTGATTTTTGCAGGAGGTAAGCCCCTACGGGGCTTGATGGCAGGAAGGGAAAGGAAGTTCTTGTTTAAGGTGGAATTCAGAGGATGCTCAAGTCAAGGTGGAGACTGTTAAATGTGACCTGAGCATTTGGAACATTCTTATGCGGCATTTGTAGAGTGGAAATCAAAATTATGAACTTTGAGAGGCGCACGGAGGCAGTGACACACTGATCGAAAGAGTGAGTGAGAGTGTTTAAGAGGTGTGGACTATAATAATAATAATAAACATTTTTGAATTAAGCATTTATTATAGGGATGAGCATCGTAACCGGGTACACGTTTTCGGAACTGTAACTGCCTCAGAACTGCTGGTTCCAGAACCAAAACTCCTTTAAGTGGTTCCGGTTCCGGTTCCTAAAGTTATGGAACTGCCTTAAGCGGTTCCGGTTCTAGTTTTTATTTTTTTTCAAAACCGCTACCTGCCGGAACCGATATATATATATATATATATATATATATATATATATATATATATATATATATATATATATATATATATATATAGACACACACACACACAAACATACACTCATTTTTTTGTACACGATCAACAAATATAAAATAAACAAAGTATCTACTTTAAAGACTTAATATTGCCAAAGCATCTTTTTATAGTTTGATATTAAAAAAAATGTGTATAGTATTATTTTGACCGATTTAGAATATATTTGTCTAATTTTATTTGTAATTTGTTCAAATTGATATGATTTAGACCGAATTAAATTGCAGTTTTTATTAACAAAAGTAAACAAATATTGTTGTAACTGGATTATCCGGTCTTCGAAGGCGGTTCCGGTACTTGTTCCAAAAATTTAAAAACCGCTTAAACCGATCTAATTCTGATTTTAACTTTCTAAGAACCGACCAATTCCGGTTCCGGATTCTTGCAAAACGAGGCTCCTCCCAAGTTTATTATATAGACATAAACGAGAGAGGGTTGCGAAGTCTTTCCCGAACAGCTCCGTTAACACCATATATTATTTTTCTCCAAACCTTGTTCTCACGGCCTCCTACTCCATTTTAGGGTTTTGAGGTAATATCGCTCATATCTGCCTTTGTTCTCCGTTATTTATCATAAACATACTTTGATAGTCAGTTTTCTTGTTGTAATTGGCTTCGGAAGGTAAACCCTAGTTCTTTTGTAACCTATTTCCAAAAGTTCATGTTCGTAGCTCCTTCATCCTTTTCATATATTCTATAGTAGCATACGCTTTGTTATCTGGGACTCCTGATGTCGCTAAACTGTATTTTTCTGTACCATTTGTTGATTAGATGAGTTTTAGTAGTAGATTTTGATAATTTTACTTCTTAGATCTGTCAGAACATAGACGTGTAAGTTACGACTCCCACGAGACCTAAGGCTATAACTTCAGGTGTTCGATGATGGGTTTGGTAAACGTTAGTACACAATCCAGTTTGGTTTGCTGGTAATAGGGTTTTACTTTTCCTTCTTTGTCAAATAGGCCTCATTTAACTTGCAAATTGATAAGAATTGTAATTTTTTTTTGAGAAAGAATTAGAGCTAGGTTAAACTTCATACCAATTGCCATGAGTAGAAAACTTGGGGTTTTAATCAGAGAGTAACCAACTGCAGTTACATGTTCTTTGCGCAAAAGAGGTTTTCTTTAACATTAAAGTATAGGCTGAACTATGGTTTTTTTTTTGGTATCCTTTCATTTGGGATGACATAATATGGCTGTGTGTATTCTTAACCATGGTACAAAATGTAAGATTGTGTATACACCCAATGATCTGTATTTGTTGATCTTGACAGGTAAAATTATCAAAGATGTCACGTGTCTATGTTGGTAATCTGGACCCAAGGGTTAATGAAAGAGAAATCGAGGATGAATTCCGCACTTTTGGTGTCATTCGTAGGTAAGAGAGAGAAATAAGTCCTTGAATTCCTTCGGGTTAAGCTGTTATGATTTATGACTATATGATTAAAGTTTCATTTCATTTTAATCTGCCATTGTTGATAAATGTGCAGCGTGTGGGTTGCAAGAAGGCCTCCAGGCTATGCTTTTGTTGATTTTGATGACAAAAGAGATGCTCAGGATGCCATCCGTGAACTTGATGGTATGTCATATGTGTACAAATATACAAATTACAATTCATATTCCATTTTTTTTTTTTTAAATTGCTGTATTTATACATTTTCATGTTCCTCTTTTGCATTCTCACATCTCATCTATTATTCACTCAACCAGGTAAGAACGGTTGGAGAGTAGAGATGTCTCATAACTCCAGAGGAGGTGGTGGCGGCGGTGGCGGCGGTCGTGGTGGAGGTCGTGGTCGCTCCGGTGGTTCTGATCTGAAATGCTATGAATGTGGTGAACCTGGTCATTTTGCTCGTGAGTGCCGTGGTGGCGGCGGCGGCGGTGGTGGTGGAGGTAGACGCCGCAGCCGGAGCCGCAGCCGCAGCCCTGCTAGATACCGCCGGAGCCCTAGCTATGGTCGCAGGTGAATAGATTGTAATTATTATTATTATTATTATTATTATTATGAAAGTTGATGTTTTTTGGATTAATTAAAATATTTTTGGAACAGGAGTTACAGTCCGCGTGGGCGGTCACCGCCACGCCGGAGTTTGTCACCGCCTCGTAAGGCAAACTACAGCAGGTCACCACCGTATCGTGGACGTGATGAAGTGCCATACACAAACGGGTGAAGTTCTTTTTATATAAATTTTTAGTATTTTTGTTTTTTTTGAATATTTTTTTTAATGTCATTTGTATATGGTTTCAGAAATGGGCTTAAGGATAGGCGTCGTAGCAGGAGCTGATTGTTATGTTAAGGGAGGACTCTGAGGAGATGAAACAAGTTGTTTGAACTGCAAGTAGTGTGGAAGTGGATGAATTTGTTATCTGTGACTGTGACTGTGACTATGACTGTGTTTTCATCTTTCTAAATTCTAAGGTTCTTAACTTTTCAAAGTATCAGAGTTTATTTTGTTTGCTTCTTAATAGACACAGAATGTGTATGTCAGGGATAGAAAGAAACAGTGCTAAAGTAATATGCTTGTTTTTGTGTGTCGAGGTGTTTATGCTTCTACTACTACTTCGCTTCTCTGCCCTGGGATCATCATTTGTGGGTCCCAGCTTACCAAATTAGTCCTGTTTTTGTTAACGGCTTCATAGAAAGGTACTTTGATCTGTTCTTGAAATATAGGGAAAATGACTTCCTAAGGTAATTAACTTTTCGGTATGTTCACATCTGGGTAATTATCTTTTTTTCGTACACATTTAGGTAACAAACTTATTGGAAGTGTTCACATATGACCATTATGACCTGCTATAGCAGGTTAAATCCTAGATGTGAACGTTTTTAACAAGTTCGTTACCTAGATGTGTACAAAAAAAATAGTTATCCAAATATGAACAAAACGAAAAATAAAAGTAAATTGCATGAATGGTCCCTGTGGTTTGGGGAATTTATGTTTTTGGTCCCTAACTTATTTTTTTTTAAACTCGGATGGTCTCTACTGTTTATTTTTGTTACGCGTTTGGTTTCTGTCTTACCTTAAAAGACTATTTTGCACTTATTAATTTATTTTTTAATTAATTTTCTTATTTATGTATTTTTTTTTATATATTTAAAAAAACTAATAGATGTATCTCCTCACCATAAACCTCAAACCACATTTGAGAAATTTAATTTGGATGGTCCCTATTATTTATTTTTGTTACGTTTTGGTCCCCGTTTTACCTAAAAATACTATTGTGCCCTCATTAATAAAATTTTCAATTAATTTTCTTATTTATGTATTTATTTTTTTATATATTTAAAAAAATTAATAGACCCCACATATATGTATCTCATCACCGTAAACCTGAAACCACATTTGAAAAATTTAATTTGGGTCTTACCAGTCACCATCCCATCTCTTATCCTCCCCAACTTCTATTTCTTTTCCATCTTTAGTAACATCGACGTCTTCACCATTCTTTTTTTTTTGGTACTTCAACTCTGGTGAACCAACACCATAACCTACTCTTTCTTCATCTTTAGTGGGTTGTAGTGTTGATTCGACGGAGTTGAATGACCGAAAAAAGAAGGGATGATGAAGACGTAACAAAATTAATAAGTATACAATAGTCTTTTTAGGTAACACAGAGACCAAGCTCGTAACAAAATTAAACAGTAGGGATCATCTGAGTTAAAAAAAATAAATTAATTAAAAAATAAACAGTATGGATCATCTGAGGAGATACAAATATGTGAGGTCTATTCATTTTTTTTAAATATGTAAAAAATAAATACATAAATAAGAAAATTAATTAAAAAATAAATTAATAAGAGCACAATAGACTTTTTAGGTAATACAAGGACTAAACGCGCACAAAAAATAAACAGTACAGACCATCTAAGTTAAAAACATAAGTTAGGGATCAAAAACACAAATTTTCCCAACCTATAGGGACCATTCGTGTAATTTACTTTTATATTTCGTTTTGTTCATATTTGGGTAACTGTTTTTTTTTGTACACATCTAGGTAATGAACTTGTTAAAAGCGTTCACATCTAGGATTTAAATGGTCATATGTGAACACTTCCAACAAGTTTGTTACCTAAATATGTACAAAAAAAAGATGGTTACCTAGATGTGAACATACCGAAAAGTTAATTTTCTTAATAAGTTATTTTTCCTGAAATATATTCATGACAAAAAGACAAATCTAGTCATCTTTCTTTAAGCTTTTTTCCAAAAACTACCCAAATTTTAAGAAAACTCTCTCTCTATATTTGGCATTCTTTTCATTTTTCCTCAATTTTACACTAGATTTTTTGTGAAATCATTCTCAATCCAAGACTTCGTTTTAGCAATATAAAGCTATTTTTTGCTGTGAAAATGGCCTTCGAAGATTTTTACCTCAAAAATATTTCAGTAAATACGATTTTCATAAAAACATGGAACAGTTTTGCTGTTTAAACGTACAGTACTTTTTTTTTTTCTCTGATTTTGCAGTATATATTTTTTTTTCGTCAGTGTCTATTCCTACTTTACTGCGAAAATGGTGGTTCTAAGTGGAATTTTCTTAATTTTGGGTTAATATTTGGAAAAGGTTTTAACGATCTATGCTATTTTTGTCTTTTTTGTTTTTGTATATTCATTCTCCTTGAGCTTGAACTGATGGGGACTTTTAAGTAGAGATTTTAGAAAATATTATTACAAGGACGTTTTTTTTTTTTTTTTTGCCTAATTGTAATTTTGGGTTTTGCAGTCTCTTGCCTTTATAATCTTTCTTCCAGCAACTGCTATATAGTTGTTGACAATGAAATAGTTCTTCAGCAATGAGACTTCTTCTAAGCCTCACATAGTTCCAGTGAAAAGTCGCCACCTATATAGTTAACATGTGCTTCCTTGGCACATGAGACACTTGTCAACCACTGATTAGTTTTGCCACGACAACTCTTTATTACAAATACATTAATTAGGTGTTAACGTGGCAAAATAAGGCACAATATTGTGCTGATATGCATTGTGCTTTGATGGTTCTTTATGGTATAAGGGGGCTGTTTGATAGTTTCAGAAGAGTTGGAATCGAGTCACAGGTTCTACATGTGATATCAAACAGATTCGACTTATTACCAGACTTAGTAAGAGGAATATCAAATAGCCTCAAATTTATCTTCCCCCAAATCTATAATCTTGTTGTTGTAAAGTTTATTAAAATAAATTATTTTGATATAAATATTACAAAAATAGTACATTTATAAAATAATAATTATTATGGCCGTTATATAGATACATTGGTCGTGAGATTTATGTGAATTAATTGATCTAATATAATATAAGAGGCATGACTGAAACATGAGATGTGGTGGAGAGAAAGTGGAGGGTAGGTACACGAATATTAATTCTAGTAACATTATTGCAAATGAGTGGATTGTTGTATTAAATACCAATTCTAGAAAAAATTGTCCTGTAGTTGGTGAATATTTTTTTTCTTTAAATCGCACCATACCCCAATGTTTGGTCAATTTCATTTTGAAATGTATAAATATCAGAAGGGTCATCTTGACTGTGGTTAAGTGATTGTTCTTTTAATTTTTACAACAAATAAAGATGTTTAAAGTTCATGGAATAAAGTCGTTATTAAATAGTTTATTTAACATATAAAATTTATAATTAATGGGCGTACAGTATACATCATTCTAATTAGCATGTGTCATCTAAGATTGTAACAAAAAACCTCACATCCAGATATATATTCATACTTTAAGAACTGAATATGTATAAAAATGCTTTAATTATCAAAGTGAAATCTTATAGAACATTGATTGTTATTTAATACAAGAGAAGCTTAACCAAATGCGTAATTTTGTGATGAGAGCTTCTCGTCCGTCATTTTTTCATGACCAAAAATGGAGTCAATTACTAGTTACTAGCTCCGATCACTAAATTGGATTGTGGTCATTGCTGATTCCAAACTTGGTGACTACCTTATAGAGCCACTAATTAATAAAATGAATAATGATAAAATTAGCCATGAAAGTGTCATTATCTCTATTTGGCAGTTCAATATGAAATTGGGCCAATGTAAACACTAACGTCCTAAAATTGTAACAATTTAACAACTAGAGTAGGTTCCATTCAATTTCCGGTTGCAAGTTGCCATTTGGTCCATACGTGGAAAATGAATCTCACTTTTTTTTTGAACGGCTGAATAGAGTAGATTAAATGATGGCGTTATTGGGTTGTTTTGTACGAGGACTAACTGAGAGTAGATTATTTTTACAGTCATATCCCAACCAAAATCCCCCCCCCCCCCCCCCCCCCCCCCCCTTTTTTTTTTTTTTTTTTTTTTTTTTTTTTCTTCTGTAATGTTCATGTAAAGCCTCAAGCTTCCGGACATTAATTTTAGCAGTTTTACTACTAAGGATTAAGGATAAGTGTGATGCTTTGTATTATTATATGCATGTGGAAACTTTATCAAAGGTGTAAGATAATTGGAAGCGCCAAGCCCGATCTAGAAGGGCAAAGTGGACATTGGAACAGAGCCATATTTTTAAGGGGCCTAATTTTTTGATGGTATGTTCAGTTTCAACCCAATCCAAATATAAAGCAGTCCAGAATCAATCATGTACGGGAGAAGACACAAGGCAACATCACAATGCAGTAGAACGTTAAAAAAAGAACAATCAGCGAGACAGCAACACAACTCGAAGACAACAACTCAGTAAGGTTAGAATACTCATTTACATATTTACTCGACTGAATGTACTGCACTCCTGCTAATTAGTTAATAGATTATGAGGAATTGAGATTATCAGTTTATAATTGTCAATTGAATACTTGAATGAATAGGATAATAGATTATTAGTTTATCAGATTCATAGAAATCAGTTTAATAGTTTATCACTATATCAGATTAGTATTATTGTTACTAGTTAATGATTGAAATCTGATTCAATCAGATTATAGAATTTTGAATGAATGATTCTGAAATAGATTACTAGAAACTGAAATTAAATTATGAGATTATGCTTGTTGTATAATTATTTATCAGAATTCAGAAATTGGAGTATTTAAAGAATCAACACCACTTTATCAAATTATCGTTACTGTTGAAATTCTAAAATCTGATTGCATGTTGCATCAGATAATAATAGGTTATCAGAAACTAAAATGAGATTACTAGATTATGTTAATTGTATAATTGTTTATCAGAAATCAGGTTATCTGATTATCGGATTTTCAGATTTTCTTTATTTTAATTACTTGAATGTTGAAAGTTGAAACTAATGAACTTGTAGTGATGAAGTCTAAACAACCATCTGGTAGTAAAAAATGTAAAAGGAGAAAACTAGACAAAGAAAAGAGAAAGGTTGATGTGGGTGCTCTAGATAAATTTATCCATAGACAACCTGTTGAAGAGCATGTTGAAGATCATATTGAAGAGCATGATGAAGAGCAAGAGCATGTAGAAGTAGAAGAGGTAGAAGAGCAAGAGCCTGTTAAAGATCTTGTTAATATATGTGATCCAAGAAGGTGGAAAAAACTTAATTACGAGGAGATTCTACTTTTGGTCGAGAAAGGTCCTACAAGAGATAATAGTATTATGTATGGTGCCTACGGTAAATTTGGTAGACGATTTTTTGCAGCTTTATATATAAGAACTTTATCAAATTTGGAGATGTGTGATAGAATGGCTAGTATATTCAAAAGAGCTAGACATGGTATTTTGTTTCTGTGATAAAGTGTTTAGAAAAGGGATTTCAAAAGGTAAATTGGATGGTGAAGGTTATGCAAATCAACAACATGTTACTACTAGGTTTAAAGAACACAAAATTTCCTTTGATCATCTTACAAATAGGAATAAACGGGTTTGCGATGATATCCATCAAGAACGAACTCTTAGAGAGTATAAACTACAAATAGTTGATCAACCAATTTGCTATCAACAATGCTAGGAGAGCTTCACGAGTTGTTGGTTAGCTGTTACGATATGTTGCTCATTAAAATACTATGAGTTTTCTATGTTTATTGCTTTAAAGTTTATCATCGTTTTAAGAAAAAGTTTATGTAATTTAATTTGTTACATGTTAAGGCTTAAGGGCCTTTTTTTTCCGGCTCATCCTGAGCATTTGAATCCTTAGGACCAACTCTGGTAAATGCACTCCATTTCAATGAAAGACATTTCCTTCGAGCATGTTCAAAAAGATGAGGTAAATCCAACTTTTAGAAACACAGTGAATGATAAGTTTTTAAGTAAGCTTTATACATGTGGTGAAAAAAGATGTAGCTGAATCTGATGTAGTTAGTGATCATGAAAATTCTGAAAAAACCAAAATTTCTTATCCATGATCTTAACCAACATTTGAAGCTAATGAAACCAATTTTGTGAATGAGTTTTGAATCTCTATGTCAATTGAAAGAGTGCTTACAAAACTCTACCCTAACTAATGGTTATAGACTTTGGTGGCAAAAACTTGAAAACTGTAGATTGTTAGATGTGGTAAAAAGGAAGATAAAGTTCATTGTCCATTTAGGCTGCGGAATTCTTTGACTAGTGAAAATGAAAATGCATTTCGAATAAAATCCCTTCACACCGTCCACTGTTGCTCTGGAAGTTACAAAATAGGTACCAAAATCACATATAAGTGGATTAGGAAATATTTTACAGGGAATTTCTAGCCAACCAAGACTTGCCACTAAGGCAACTTAAAGCTGTTATCACCAAGAAATTCCATATAAAACTCAGTTTATCTCAATGTAGTATGGCAAAGGAAGCTGCTATCACCAAGAAATTCAATATAGAGCTCTCTATCTCAATGTCGTAGGGAAAAAGAATACGCTATGAAAGAGGCTAAAGGTTCATTGAAGAAACACTATATTATGTTGTGGAGTTATGGGGAAGAAATAAGGCCGTCTAAAGTACTTCTCACGGACCATGAACCACAACACAACTGCAACTCACTACATTGCCGTCAGGATGGTGTGTACGAGAGAAAGAAGACAGAAGAAGAATATGCTTGCAGTGAGAAAGAACATCATGGTCAAATGTGGTGGTGACCACAACTCTCCATGACAACGATGAAGAACAGAGGTACATGGTGGTGTTCGTGGTCGTTGTATTTGCTAGCTTGCACACTAGAACCTTCCATTGGTGATATACCAGAAGGCCTAAGGAGGTGAATCTTGCTATGGATACGCCGAGTCGCCATGGTTACTGCCGATCGAAGACGGAGCTATCACCGGACGTCCGCCGCCGCCGATGTTTATCGCAACTTTCCCTTTTTGCAGGTTATTTTCTGACTGTGGTTGCCGCCAAGATGGTGGCTGTGGGTGTGTTTCTAGAGATATCCTGTGTGGGTGTGTGTTGCATCGTTATTTTGCGTTATTGGGTGTGATTGCTTGGCCGGGAACCAAAAGTGAAGCCATCACCACCACCGTGAGGTGGTGACTGCCACCTTGTACCACCGCCAACCACCACAAGGGTGGCTGTGTGTGTGTATGTTTATTTTAGGGTATTGCATTGTAAAATTGTAATCAGTGACGAAATAATGAAAAGAAAACTCATAACCACCACTGTGAGGTGGTAGCTACCGCCTCCTGCCGCCACCAACCGCTGTGTTGGGTGGCAGTGTGCTTTGTTTGCATTTAGACTTCATTTGGGATACTTGGAAAAAAATGGACTAGAACCATAACCACCACCATGAGGTGGTGGCTGCCGCCTTGAGCCGCCGTTAACCACCACTACCTGAGGTGGTAGTGGTGGTGCATGACTTAGGAAAACCCAAATTGTCCTAATAAAACCCTAATGGGCCTAAGGACTTAGCTTTTGGGCCTAATTGGGTTGTGAGGGGTTAGAAACCTTAATTAGGGTTTAGAAAACCCTAATTTTGGATATATGGATTATGGGTTGTCGGGACCCGAATTTTTAGATGACCGGATTGGGATTATGGATTAAGCTGACCATACTACATGATTGACCTAGTAGATTGATGGACTTAATGGATTAAGTCCTTAATGGGTTAAGTAAGAAACACTTAACCCTAATTGTCATTTTATGTGAAAACCTTAATTTCACTTAGGCCTTTCTATTGGGCTTTAGTGATTGGGTTACTGATGGGTCATCCAAGAACAATCATATAGACTAGAATATTTAGATTGGGCTTTAGGATAAGACCCATTAGACAGGATTGGGCCTAATTGGGAAATTGGGCCATAGATGGGCCATAACTGGGCCTTGATGATTATGAGATATTGGACCATTGATTTCCAAGTGTTTGGACCAGAATAAATGGTTGGGCCTTATGGTAAGACCATGTAAAGGTTTGGGCCCAATTTGGAAACTTGGGCCATATGTTGGGCTTTGGTTCATTATTAGACTTTTGGGCCTTTGGAGTGGGCCTTAGGCTTGAATCAAGCTAAGTTAGGGGTAAAGTAGTATTTTACCCCAAGCATGGTCTTATGGAT